AAAACATTTACTAATTCTTATAATCTTGTTTGGGTATCTCACCTTGTTCTCTAGGGAAGTTGGGTCAATTCGTTCTCCTAAAGTACCATTTCCTCCTTTCCTTTTATATACAATCTAAATCATAATTGTTGATCATTCAAATCTGCATTCAAATAAAATATAATAATTCATATGAAAATCTTATAAGTTTATCTCAAAGAAGTTTCTCTTCATTCACCCCAATGTGACATCTCTTCTCCTAAGTCTCCTTTCTTCACTTTCCCTCCTTACATACAACATTTAGCCATATTTTAATTCAACAGCAGCCCCTCTACCTTACTGTTTTCAACTATAGATTTTCAACAATAACAACAGCATTTGAACTGACTTCTAGAATTTAATTTCAGCACCTTTTGTTTGCTAACCTTTTTTTTTTCTTCAACCCAAAGAGTAACCAGTTACATCAACTTAGCCTGTATCAGTTTCCACTACTCTTCCACACAACCAGCTTCAACATTTTAATGAATTCCAGCAGCTAGATTTTAGAAATTTATTCTCTGAAATCCTCATTCAAAGCATCTCACAGCAGCAGCCTCAACAAGTGGCTCCCGCTACTCAGCTTGAAGCTGGCTTCCGATGTCCAAGGGGGACGGGTGGGGAAAAGAAGCTAATGTCTCCACAGAATTCACACTATTAAAATGATAATAATAACACTTCTAATTCCACTATACCTTCTCAGCCATTCCCAGCCCTAGGATTTCCATCAGCTTTATGCATGTCGGTTTAAGTGGAATTGCTACAGTAATTGAAGTACATACTATTAAATAATTTACTAATACTTAGCCTTTAATCTAGCTATCATTTAAACCATAAACTGCAATTAAATACAATAACATTTAGAGGAAGTTGAAGCTTACATTATTTTAAATATTTTTTTGAGAGTATTACAGGATGTAGGTGAAGCAAGGGAGAAGAGAGGGGATGGAGGGGAGAAGAGCTTGTGGGTTCAGCCAAGTCTTAGGGAGCCTCCTTCAAGTTCAACTTTGGGGTTAGAGAAAGGGTAGGAAACAATTTTGAAATCTGAAATTTTAGTTCAGATTTTCAAGGGTGGAAAGGAGGGAAGTATTTGAAATTCAAATCTCCCTTTATGGGAGATTAATTAAGTGAGATTGGAGGGAGGGGCCGGCGGCTTAAGAGAGGGATTAAGGGGTTATAATTAGAGAGGGGAATTAATTGGAGAGAGAAAAGGAAAGGGTGGAGGCCTACCAAAGGAAGAGGGGAAAAGGGTGTCCACATTCGATCTATGTGGACCCTTGCATTAATTGTTGATTGGAGAATTAAATCTGAATTAATTTCAGATTTTAGATGATTAAGGGATCTCCAAAAATAGGTGTAGGCTATTTAGGAAGAATTAAAAATTCAAATTCATTTGAATTTGAATTACAAAACTTTCCTAATAAGAGTTGGGCTAAATTAGGAAAATAGAGATGGTGTAATTGAAGGGGAATCAAGAGGGTGGGGAGGGGTAGGTCAGCGGCTAGGGATGGGAGGATCGAGGCTTTGGGTGTGGAGGAGAGGTTGGCGGTTGGATGTGGAGGATGTGGGCTATCCGGCGGTCTTAGAGGGGAGGTAGGGGACTTGGCAGGTGGGTGTGGTGAGGTTGGAGGGTTTTGGACTTCTGATTGGTGGTCTTGGTAGAGGGGATGTCTTGGCCGGAATTTTGGGAAGGGGATTGAAGGTTGCCGGCGGTATAGGGCGGAGGAAGGGGAAAATAAAATAAATAGATACGAACCGCGAGCCTGACCTCTACCGGCGGTTGATGGGTGATGCGTGACCCTCTCATAGGGTTCTCTCTTCTCTCAAGAACTCACAGGAACACAAAGAACCAAAATTGAAATTTTTATTAATCAATCATTAATCTCATACAATTGTGGAGGCCTCTATATATAGGCCTTGAAATAAAAGAGAAGCAAAAGACTAAAATGCTTTTTGGGCTACATAATGAACTAAATCCTCTTGGGGGTACAATGGTAAACCATAATATAAATAAAAGTAAAATACATAAATGCATCATAAATAAAGACTCTGAATCTTAGCTGTCGATCTACGATTCCTCCGATGATAGACGCATCGAAATCTCATGTTGATCTCCTCATTAAGATATCTCTTAAAGTATCATTCAAAACATTTCCCAATAATCCGCTCTCATAACTGGCTAATAGATGACAATGATTAATTTGGCTGGCTGTTAGTGTGTTTTCTCATTACTGGGCAATTGGAACACGGTAGGACTATGTATGCACAAATAGAGTGGCTTTGATGTCCATGATTTTGCACATGTGAGGGATGAAATAACAAATATTTTGAGAAATCATAATAAATTCATTTTTAATCAAAAGTATGTCATATAATGCATGAAGTCATATTGAAACGACTTAATGAATCCAATGGAATAGGAGTTAAGCCCAATTTTATCAAGCACAACATAGTGCTTCATTAAACCTAAATATTATGTAATTATCATGAATTTTTAAATGTATCGAAGTAGTTCTAACAAAATTGGAATTTTGTTGCAGAAACATAGATAAGTTAGCAAGTCACCTTAAAATTTCAAGCAAATATAACAATTCTAAACCTATTAAAATTTAATAAAATATAAACTAATTATTATTATTTAACATTGTTATGCATGATTGACATATAAATAAAAATTTAATGATATGTTTATGAAACAAGTTCACATAGACTTTCTAACTATATTAATAATCAATTCAAAGATAAAATAAAAAGTTACCACATGCTTACTAATTATTATAATTTGTGTAAATTATAAATACTACTAAACTAAATGAATAGAAAAGAAATTCAGGTGAATTTTCAAAAATCATAAAAAGCTATAACAATATCTATAAAATTAATTATATATATAAATATATATATATATATATAAATTCATCATTCTTGAGGCGATTGATAGTATTTAATTAATTGACTTTGAATTCTACTAAACTCACTCTAGGATAAACTACGACCTTTGATTATTGAATCTTCACTTGAACCCTTGAGCTAATCCTTTAAATGAAAAATCCTCTAAGCAAGCATAATGCATCACTCTTTATTTTCATGATTGCTAGAAAAAAGATTGTTCTAAAATAAAAATTTGGCAAACCATTAAATCACATCATACAAGATTTGTTATTATCAAATTAATAGTGAGCTATGTATGAATCACATGAGCTTATCTGAGTATGCATTTGAGAGTGGCCCTTCTTAAGCTAATGGTATAGCTGTGAAACCTTGGAACTAGAGCATTGCCATGGTTCTTTAGGTTGTGTGAAGTAGTCATCAAATTGTTATTATTATTTTTAATGTGTGTGTGTGTGTTTATATATTCTTTTTCCCCTTCATTTTTCATGGTAAACAAATCTCAGAAGTAATTTTTTATTGTAGGTGGATTTCTTACTTCTCGGTGGTGATCTGTTTCATGAAAACAAACCTTCAAGGTCAACATTGGTGAAAGCCATTGAGATACTTAGGAGATATTGCCTAAATGATCGACCCGTGCAATTTCAAGTTGTCAGTGATCAAACTATTAACTTCCAGAACATGTAAGATAAACTTGTCTTTGCGTGATAAAAAGGGGTCTTTTAGTCTCCATCTAATATGCATAATTTAAATAATTGAACTGATCACTCTTCAAGCAATGGACATTATCAAATTTAATTTCCCTTAAGTATTTATTAAGGCTTAATTATCAAGCGATGATGATTGCTTGATCAAGACATTCTTTTGCTGTTAATGTCATGATTAAGTAGTTAATTATTTTTTAATTTGATTAGTGAGTTATATTTTAGGAAATATCTAATTTTTCTAAAATATGTTTGGACTTATCTATTTGGAGATAAATGTTAGTTTTGCTTTTAATTTACTTCTTATAATTATTTTCTTCTGTAAAATAGACCCTAGGGTTGTGATGGTATAGGAATAAAGTATTATTGAATTATTCAACTCAAGTCTTGTAGAATCTCTCTTTTTCATGTCTCCCTCTCCTAGTAACATTCTTTCTCATCCATCTACAATATCTCCCTCTTTGTTTCTCTCCCTCCAGTCTTGTTTCTCTTCTCTCTTCTCATCCATCCTTCTCATCTTTCTATCTTTCACTGATTCATTACTCAAGCATTATGATTGTGCAATCGTCCATCGCATGATCTCCCATGGCTCTTCCTTTCTTGTTTTTTCCTTCATTACACAATATATTTCTTCTCATAAAAATCTCTTGTTATCAAAATCACTGCCAAACAACCCAATTGATATTTTAATTCCTTTCTCTCATACCTTACTTTCTCACAGTGTCTAAAAATCAAGGATTTGTTTGCATGTTGTCTATCTCATTGTATTACTACCTATTCAAGCCTTGCTACCTCAATTTTGGTGTCAAGGAGAAAGATCCCGCATCTAATACTAAATTTTGAGGCCACACTGGTGCTTTTACAAAATTTTGCAATGCTCACTTAAACTCATTTGGAGTTCAAGCTATCATTTCATAGGCAAATATCCTTCACCCATCTTTGCGTTGGAATAGAGGTTGGGCAATGAATTTGTTGTTTACAATAGATTTGACATGACAAAAACCACCTTTCAGATGAGAAAATTTACACATTGCACTATTTTGAGGATCAAGAATTTTATTTGTAAAAAAATTGTGACAACAAAGCTTGATTAGTTAACTTTGTAGGTTTAAATATTCAACTTTTAATTTGACTTAATTTCTTGTTTGCTTGCATGCCTATTAATTTATGCATGGTTCTTACCTAAGAATGTTCCTATAAGAGTGAGACTCAGTCTTCCCTACGTCCCTACTTGCAACCTAGCCTGTGCAAAAGTGAGATCCACCAAATATTATAAAAATTTGAGTTCACTAAATGAGGGCATAATGCTTTCCAATCTAAAATCTTTTGAAAGCTATAAATTAGGTCATCATTTACATATGAGATCTTATGATATTTATTTCTTATAGCTACATACAACAACAACATCAAGCTTTTATCCCATTTCGTGGAGTCGGCTACATGAATCATTTTTCTCCATTGTGTTATATTAAGAATCAAATTTTCATTTAAATCTATAAAGAAAAGTCTTTTCTAATATTTTTTTTAAATAAGTTTTTTTAGGTTTACCTCTATCTTTCTTAATATTAGCCAAATCTAATACATCTACTCTCCTAATCGGGTCATCGAAAGGTTGACGTTTTATGTGACCAAACCATCTATGACATCCTTATAGCTGCATGCCTAACAAAAATTTCCTTCTACATATCTTAAATGATTTCATGAACTAAATAATAAGTTTTATCACCAATTTTTATGTGCAAATATATTTTGATATGAGGATATGATTACATGTGTTACATATCTAACATTATCTTATCTAGTAGCATTCACTATATATTTACATGATTTGTTCTTCATATACATAATATTCAATATCATTTAATAATGACATTTACTGCATTTACCTGTGAACATGAACATTTAGTACAAATTGTTAATTTAATTTGCCAAATGTTTGTAAGTATAGAATATCATTCAATGACTTCGAATATAAGAGTAAAGACTCCTTAAGATAATGTTAATTTGATTATGGGCTGACTTGATGAGTTATCTCATCAAATTCAGGTACTACAAACCGCAAATGACACTCAAATCCACGTGTTCAACTTAGAAATCCTACTGAAGGAAGAGCCACTAGTCGGACTCAACTTATATGTGTACCCCATCTTGGGGCTTTAGAAGAGCTAGTTGCTCCCTATGTTTGAATTAAGGCCCATTTCCTTGATAAAAGAATGGGGATAGAGATGGTCCAAGTATTAGAGTTTACCATCATCATTATCTCGATAAAAATCTACAGGATCTCACACAATCTTCTCCAAGATAGTGATTATTATGAAAAAGGATTATCATGAAAAATCTCTAGCATATACGTTAAGTGTGGCAGAGATGAGGATGCTCAGGTGGATGAGTGGCTTTACCCTTAGAGATAGGATACGAAATAAGCATATACGTGAAAAGGTTGGAGTAGCTCCAGTAGAAGATAAGATTAGAGAAAGTCGCCTTAGATGGTTTGGTCACATAAAACGGCGGCCTTGCGATGACCCGGTTAGGAGAGTAGAGGTATTAGATTTGACTTATGTTAAGAAAGGTAGGGGTAGACCTAAAAAGACTTGGTTAGAAAATATTAGGAATGACCTTTCTTTATTAGATTTAAACGAGAATTTGACTTTTAATAGGACACAATGGAGAAAAAGGATTCATGTAGCCGACCCCACGTAGTGGGATAAAGGCTTGATGTTGTTGTTGTTGTTGTATGAAAAATCTCTAGCATGTTGCAACCCTTTTTATGAAGTAAATGAAGCTACTCATGATTTCAACCACCACATTAAAATTGTAATACAAGCTACTCATGATTTTTATAAATTGTAAAAAGAAGATTAAGGTAGAAGCTTCTACTTTTGACAAAGGATCACATTCATAATGCTTTTTTTTATTACTCTCTCAGATAGAGGTCTTATTTGTGTAAAATTGCATTGGTGACCATTAGAGAGTTGGATTTGTTGTAGTAAATCTGGTAGGTCCACCAAAAGGTTTTTGCAAGGAGTTGGAATTTATTTAGCTTGCCAAGGTGAACCATCAGTGTCACCTAGGTCAAAATGGAACTTTAACTCCAACAAACATACATATGAACTTGTTATAGAAGGCTACTTGTTGAACAACTAATGAATTTCAAACAAGATAATTCACTAGTGATTGACTTTCTTGTTAGTGTTATCATTATGAAATTCTTACCAAACTATGTTTACTTGGCTGTCATTTAGGACATTTATTCGTTACTTTATTATGAATAATGGGCCTGCTTATTGAATAGTAAGATTCTCAATCCTCTGTTCCCTTAGTATGGCATTAGAGCAAACTTAATTCTAACCTTAACCTTTTCTCTTCCAATTCACAACTTCAACTCTTATGACAATCTTAATCATCTTAAATCCATTCTAAATTCTCCCACATCTTCTGCTTCAATGTCACTTCTAATCCTAGTTTTGTGCCACTTTTGATTCTACCATGCTAGTTATGTTAAACCCTATTTGGACCCCCCCCCCCCCCCCCCCCCCCCCCCCCCATACAGTCAATCTTGAGACATACTTCTTACTAACATCTATCTTGAAAAACTTCATGTTTCGAGACAATATGCATAGACTATTTCCTACTCACCCATCTTGAATTACTTCTATCAGAATCTGATGATTAGGAAATGATCTATTCAGACTCTCTATCTGTTACACTTTAAGTTGACTGACAGGGGTCCGAAATGGGTGTGACAAGATACCTATCTTGCTTAATCGCCACTTGCCTATCTTGCTTAATTACTCCAATGTTTCTCACTCACTCTCTATGCCCTTGATCCTTTGACGCCATGCTAGCTGAACTTGCTCCCAATCAACTTACACCCTCTATCACCGTCACCCCTTTACCCACCCACCACATGGAAATTTCTTATGAGACCTCCTTGCTCTGAATATTGCTTCACATCTCTATGTGAGCTCACACGCTCGCCTCCCGTGCTTGTTTATGCCTTAATGAGATTTGTCTCTTATCAATTGACCTACTCGCTTTCCACTATTTGTGCACCTATTGCCCTTGTTGCAATTGGCCCATTTACCTAGGGCGCAACCCTTCCTACATCTCCTTTTCTCAATGGTCTAAGGTTACTCTTTGATTCTTTGTCTTTCTCTACGTGGCATGCTGGCATCACAATCTTCTCCCAATGATTAAAAACCCTTCTACACTATCAATGCCACAATCAAATTCAATGGTACCAACTAACTTCTATCATTGAGGGCCTTTCATTTTCTTATCGATTCTCATAACAAACTCCATCACCTTGATGTGACTTTTCTGGATTGTGATGATATAGCCAAGTTTTGAAAATAGCAAATATTTTACTGTGCTATTCTTACTTGGTTACATAATATTATTGAATCTTTCATTGTATTCATTGTTATATTTCATGTGGGATTTTCTTCATACCATTTATGTTTTTTTAAAGTAATATATATTGTGTTTTCATCATTTATTCTAAGTTTTCTTTTCTCTCCAATATTATAATTTGCCCATCCAGGAATATTATAATATCTTATGAGATATATGGGATGAGCTTTATAGTACACACCCTTTTTTATTGATTTGACAGTTTACAACATCAACATCAGTCAATTTCTCATTCAAATCTAATAAAGAAATCATTTCTAATATTTTCTAACGAAGTCTTTTTAGGTCTACCTCTACCTTTCTTAACATAAGTTAAAATCTAACACCTCAACTTTCCTAATTGGGTCATCGGAAGGCCTCCAATGTGATCAAACCCTCTAAGGCAACTCTCTCTAATCTTATCTTCCATTGGAGCTACTCCAACCTTATCTCGTATATGCTCATTTCATATCCTAGAATATCATCATCAAAGAGCATTCACCAAGGTACATCCTCTAGCAAATGTCTTGTGAGAACATCCATAACTAAAGCAAAAAGATATGGACTTAAGGTTGATCCTTGATGTA